ACAGGCATAGATTTACTGCCCCTCAGAGCCAGCACGGAGCACTCATGAACGTCACAGGATTCCCATGTGCACATTGCATGGAGAAAACAAGTATCTTGAGGCCACGTGCAGACTCTCAGCACCCATGGTACTTTGAGACCAAGAGCGCACATGGCCGTACCTGCAGGGTGTTCTCAGGGAGAACCACAGGCAACTGAGCTAACCTTCAATGACCTGCTCCTCTCACCCTCAGAAGTAACACTGCAGAGGATGTGGGAGCAGACCAGGTCTTTGGCTTCTGAGAGATGGGAATACATAAATTTATCCAGTTATCTTTCCGAGCCCAAATTACTGGAGAAAACATTCTAAAGGTAATCTGAAAATACCCCAGGAACACTCCCCAAACTTCAAAGAGCTGAAGAACACCTGGTGCTTGAAGGTTTATGCTCGCTTTGCACAGAGCAACAATAACACATAAACTTTGTTATTTTACTGAACTTAAGAAACAGCTGTCTGTGTAGTGTTGTGTGTCGCCCCTCCCCCAACTTATGGTGACTGCTTTAGCATTATGATAAAATACTCAGCTTTTGGTCTCTCTCCAGACTTGGAGCATCACTGACACATGTGCAGCAAACTCTGTCTGAACTGTGTCCAAACATCATTTAGAGGGAAGCGACATTGGTGCCTCCAGTTCTGCTTGGTTTCCCTGAGGCAGCTGCAGTTGCCTCAACTGAGACGCTGCAGGTTCAGCTTCGCTTACTTTGCTCTTGGCATCCCTTGGTTTAAGCTAACGGGGAAGCAAATTCCTGGAGTGCATACCCTTAACATGAGACAATAGCAATATCAATGACAGTCCGTGCATTTATACCATGGGGGATCTGGGCAGAGATAGGACTTGCCTGCAAGTTACTTAAGAGTTTTCAAGAAAGTTTCAAGACCCTTCCAAAAATGGCTGGCCCTGCAGAGGTGCTCAGAGGGAGCACTCCTGCCTCAGCAGACAGCACAAAAATACACAAACCTAGATTTTAACATTGCCCAAGAACACAACAGCATTAATTGGATGCTTTTCCCAAAAGCAAGAAATAGATATCTAAATTTAAATCAACTGAAAAAAAGCTATTACTGCAACACAACAGAAGTGGTGCACTACCTTAGTGCTCCCAGCGGAGCTTACAGTCACCTCGCTGAGGTGAGTCCCATGTGGGGCTATGAGTCCCCAGGTGAAAAAACAACAGAAAATGCAAGACTCACACATCCATGTCCACATAGCAGCAGTGCCGGAGTCTCATGCCCACCTCAGACCTTCAAATGGCTCTTACAACCAGAGCTGCAGAGCAGCATAGCACCCAGGCTGGCCATAGGCTGGCCCCAGGGTGGAGCCCTACAACCACCTACACTCAGGTGCAGGTACTTTGCTGAACCCACAGGAAACGAGCCAGGACTCCGCTTTGCTTCAAAATGGCCTGTGGCTCTGTAATGCAAAGTCCTCTCTGTGCAAAGCTTGTGGAGATCATCCACAGTCTACTGAGGGTTCAGTTTTTGGCCTTCACTAAGGCTCCGTCATGGCAGGTGCCTGCTTCATCCTCCAGGATCACACGCTGCCTCCCCTGCTGCGATGCAGTCTGCTGATAATCGTTATTCAGCTGGAGTTTGTTTCCTTTAAACATAGGAGATTTGAGCATCCCCTCTCTAGAGCCTTAGTCTCTCAGTCCCTGCTTCCTGGCCTGCACTCCCCAACAACAACGTGAGGAGAGACGGCTGCCGTTTCCCTGAGGCATGGTGGTGTTTGAGGCCATGGCACTGCCTCTCCACAGGGCCGGGCAGCCGCCTTCTGAGGAAACACCCTGAGCTCAATGCGCAGGGGGTGTTCTCTGGTTCTTAGAGGCAGGATTTCATATTTTAACAGCTTCAGAGAAAAATATGAAATAAATACCCAAAATAGAGCACTTGTTGTTCAGGAGAGCACACAGAGCCCCGTGGTGCCCAGAGAACAGCTCACCCAGGCAGAGGCACAAACTCACCTGAAACAGTTTTGTACTTAAAAGCTCCCTTCAAGAGGGACATGCATTTTTGACAGGGGTAACCTGCAGCTTCCCCTGCACTACGCTGAGCCGCTGACCTGACAGGGGCCCTCAGAAATGTGTTTGTCCTTATCTTGCTCTGAGCCTGGCTGCAGGCAAGTTTTGAGGGAAGTCGGTGGTATCTAGGGGGACTGCGAGTCCCCTTCTGAGGAAACAAAGTGGGGCTGGGGCTGCTTAGACCCCCATGGAGGGATGAAGCGCCCACCTCCATCCTCCAAAAGCAGCTGAACAACTCAGGCAGGACAGGCTCTGCTTGCACAGTAAATACCCGCGGCAGCAACTAGTTTCTTGCTATGATGGACGATCAGGCAAGGCAGTGCACTCCACGAGCAAGCACACTCCTCTCCAGACGTAGAAGAGACCCTCCTGCAGAAAGGGCCTCTCACCTCCTGATTTACTCCAGCGCAGCTCAGCAGAGACGCGTGGCCCCCCCGGCCCTCGCTCGCCCGGCTGGGCCGGGCTCACTGCTGCTTCCCCTCGTTACAATCAGCAGCCCTTGGTGGAGGCATCTGGAGCCCTTCACCTTCACTGGCCCGGGTGCCGTTTCCCCTGCGCCCGGAGCCCAGCCACCATGCAGCACAGCTCTCGCAGCGGAGGAAGCAAACAAAAGAGGTTTCTGGGCAGAGAGAGGCTTCTCCTGAACAGAAAAAATAATAAACAATAGTCCCTATGCCCTGGTAGCAACAATGTCAGTATTGTTGCCACTTCTCATTGTTTGATCATGGCTCTCGCTGTATTTGGTGTTTTCACTCTATCCCCAGCTTCCTGAAATCCTGTTAGAATTTTAGTTTGAAGAGAAGTCCACATCTAGATTCATGACTATGACAAAAAGCTTGGAAGTGTGGTCCATATCTCTGAAAAACTCAGGAAAAAAACCACAACGCCCTCTCGTGCATATATATGCCTGTGTATATCTGCACCTTTTCCTTCTGTTGTGGGTAAAGCTGAGGGAGTGCACAAATACGTTGTCATCTCTGGGCACCTACCATGTATTTATCAAAGCCAAAAGGGAAATAGGGTTTTAAATAATTAACCATCGTACATATTAGAACTATATATAAAAAAAAATATACAGAGCATTCATATGCATATGCATTCTCATACTGCTTTAGTCATTTCTGTTAGGCTTTTAATCCCCCAGTTTAAAAGGGGCCTCTGAAATCTAATGTGCAGATTCTGGGAGGATCTATAAATCTCGCATGGAAGGGCTGTAATTAAGAATGGCTTGAGAGAGAGGCATGTGAGCAGCAGGTCAGGTGGACCTTTCATTTGCAGATAAGCTCTCCGAGTAAGTCATTCTTCCCTGATTTATATTATAAAATGCACATTAATCTCTTTCAAATAAAACCTAGCCAGAGTTGTATCATTTCTGAGACGAATGAGTGAGGAGGGAGGGGTCCAAGGTAACAGGAGTTAAAAATACATGTTTAAAGCCTTTAGTAGGGCATTTCAGCATCATTCCTGTTTCAGTTTGGATTATTGCAACTTCCACTGCTGGAGTATCCGAGTCATTATTCCAAAAAGAAATCCAGAGACCAGGAGAAAAACCTTAGGTGATACAAAATGTAGGTAGGAAGAACGAGAGTTAGGCTGTAGGTGTTTCTAAGCGCAAGAGCTCATCATCTAAGTTTTCTGTTGGTGTTAATCTGGTATAGTAGTTGTGATGCCTTCCTGTTGCCAAAGATGAGGGCTTTCCCAGTGATCTCAGGGAAATTAATTAAAAAACGATAAGGAGTTGCATTCATATTTTGGGCTGTTGGTCTGATAACATGTGAATGATTTTGAAGGTATATTTGATAAGGCTTACAAAACAAGGAGAAATTAGAATCAATACTTTTACCGGTTCTTTTACAGTCTGTTAACAGTTACTTCATTTTTTCATCTCTTGTATATTTGATAAAATGTAGATCTTGTTATAGCATCACTGTATAACCATTCCTTTATTTCCTGTACACAGTAGAGGGATAACTACTGCAGCAGTGGTTTGCAGTGTGGTCCCTGCTCTGAGTATTTCTTTGTCCCTGTAACTTCATCTCTGGCTTGGCAACATCTGCTGGAGAGGAAACGATGAGAATCCTTAACGTTGCCAGAACGCAGGCCAGAAAGCAGCATAAACTCTTTCCGATCTGCTTGCTGGATCGTTACTTGAAAGCTAGCAAATGCAGTGTGTGTGTGTGTCTGCCTAGGGGAGGGGTTCAATTACCTGAGATTCTCTGCAGATATTAGCAGTGTCTCGTGGGGAAGTCTCATTTAGTATGCAGAATAAAATCGCTATGGCACTGATCATATGATTCGAAGACTCAATCCTGAAGCAGCACTACTGAAAAGGGGAGGTGAAACTGCATAAGACACTCCGTTCAGACAGCATGAGGCTGTGAGCAGCACATGAATTTTATTCAGCAGGCAGGAGGAGAGCTGCTGGATTGGTCCGTTAGATGTGTAGTCGGGAAACCACAGGAAAGCTTTATTTCTGGCAAGTCTGCATTTTGTCAGGATGCACCACTGGTGTTACTAGAAAAAAGGAAGCCCGCCGCTACGTGAGATTAAAAGGTAGAGGCAGCGATAGCTACAGAAGATCACTGTGAAACTCATTTGATAACCACCTTAAATACCCCCTCAAGAGTGAATTTAACTGTTGGAGAGCACTGGTTCCAACTGACTGACTGGAAAGTATGGTGAAAAGGATGCACGTTCTGAGGAAGCGTTTCCCTGACAGCACAGCAAACTAGAGGAGAACTTCTACCTGCATTGCTGACATTCGGGAAAAATAATACAAAAAAGCATTCTGGTGCCAGGAGTCTTGTATTTTTTTCTTCCTGAGTCCTGGAGAGGGATTTTGTAGTCCCCTCCCTGAGGAAAACACCAACCAGAACTCAGAATACGGCAGACTTTCCAAAGAACAGGCATGGTACAAAATGTGATTTTGGTGTTTTTCCGCAGGCGACTCAGCCAAAGACCTGCTGTTGAGGAGCTAGAAAGAAGAAACATACTTAAACGTGAGTATTTTTTTCCTAAAGTATTTTGTGTGTGTTGTTGAAACCAGTGATTGCATTTCTAGAACATATTATTTTTAAATAGACAAATTCATTCACTGGGATTATTTTCTGTACCTAAAAGTTTTAATTTTTTCATGTCCTGGGTTTCAAATACTGCAGGAATCAGAATTTACAACTTGATAAAGGCATGCAATTTAGTACAGAAAAGAATGACTTGTTCAAATTTAGGCTTTCAAATAATTTTCATTCTGATTACACTGTTATGGATGTCCAAGAGGGGAATACAATCTTAGTGTCACACAGTGCAATGAGAATTGGACTGACATTTTTCAACATGTGGACTGTCATGGCAAACTGTACACTGAATGCCACCAAGGCTAAAGTGGAATGGAGAAAGCATCCTTGCAGAGGTGTGATTCTCCTAGCAAGTACATTTGTTCATATCATTAGAGACCTTCCCAAAGACAAGTCAAAGAAAGATCATTCTGGGATACTAGAGTTATTAGAGGGACGGTTCCAGGCCTGTTACAGATGCTGCCGCAGGCGAATGTTCTCAACATCTCTCAAATAAACTCAAGGCAGAAACTTGCAACTCTTTTCCTAAAGATTGGTGTTCTGACCCGGGGATCAAACAAGTGATGAACATAATCCCTTTCCTTACAAGTGCTGGGAATCCTCTAAGTTAGGGGAAGGTGAGAGAGAGCTTTGAAATTGTCTCCATTATGGGTCTCAGACAGGAGAAAGCGGGAGGCCATCTGCTTGAAGGGAAAGTGTATTGCTTCTGTTATTTTCGTGGTCTATTTAGCGTTGAAAGACAACCACCAGAATGATGTGAACAATAGTTTGTTGCTCATTAAACAAGCATAAAACATAAAGCCACATAAGTGTATGTCATACAGGCAATGCTGCCTATGCTATTTAATTCATATTTAATTATTAATGTGATTGTAATTCGCTAGGAAAAAAGTTACCTGCATTTTGTTACCTAAAATTTAATGTCTCAGAACTTTCTTAGTAGTTCATAGAAAAAACCTTACGCTCTTGCCATTGAAGTTATTGGGGATTTAATTTCAGTTTTAACACAAAGGAATTCCACAGTCAACTTATATTTATCGGTATTTTCAGTACTGTTCCAATGCATATATTGCATACGGTAAAATTAGATGTATCTAACCTGTGCATAGCTAAATGAGAAAAAGGAAACATTCTTTGCAAATGTGAATGGATGAACTTGGCCTAACTTCACATGTTCTGTCATCTACCACAAGAGACAAGAAAAAGCAGTAACCCAAGATTCTGAAATATGTGGGGCCAGATTTTCAAGAGTCAACGCCCAAGATCTCTGAAAATCTGTTTCTTTGGGTTTTTTCCTGGCTAAGGAAGAGCTGATCTCTGCTGAAAAAAAATCTGTTCCTTTATGTTTACGTTTTGAAGTGTGCTGGTTACATCCTTAATCTGGGTTAAACTGACCAGCTTTAATAATAAAAAAGTTTCAATACATTCATATAATGAGCTTAGAGGAAGATAAAGCAGAAAGAAGATAAAGCAGAATTAAAGATATTTCCTGAATGCCAGCTAAACATACTGGTCTAGATTTGTATCTCATTTAAAGAGCTCCCAGCATGAGCAAATTTATTGACTTCAGTTCAGTTGCTCAGGCTTTATACAGGTTCAGCGGAGATCAGAACCACTTCTGTTTTATTTACCTCTTCCATTATATAAAAAGCTAGGTATCTTGTAAAGAGCTAAGGTCATCACTTAGCTGGGTCAGTTGTAATCTTAAAAGGCTGGACAGATGCAACAACTCTAGCCTCAGTTTTGAGTGAATTTGGAAATTAGTAAAGTCTCCTTTTATTAATAGGGATATCGACATTCTTGTTATGGACTTGAAAACCACCTGGATTGGGTCTGACATGCAAAGCTGTAGCGGTATAAATGCCCTTCAGTAAAATCACTACAACCTCCTCCAGGTTGTAAGGGTTTGTACAGTTGCGTCGTAAGTTCCCTAACATCTTTGATGTTCATAATACGTACTGCTAACGGAAGCAATGCTACCCCCAAAGCTGTTTTAAGGACTAATAATTCACATTTGTACAACTCTGTCAAAAGGAGAAGCATATTGCAAGTGCCTAAGTGCAACTGCTACATTATTTTAAAACAGATCTCGGTAAGATTAAAAAAAGTGACTTCTTATCTCCCTTAGGGAGATGTTTCTGAGATAAAAGCAATACTTAAAAAGCCAGCTTAAAGCCAACACTTTCTTACAATTTTGTTGATCTTCTAAGTCCTTCACTTGAACTATAGAAACACTGCTGGTTTACCACAACGCATATAGAAAGCATATGAACTAAAATCACGACCCAGGTGTTCACATGTGTTCTTCCTGTATTCAAATGAAAGCTGACATTCGCATTCAAGAAGGCAGCATCTCTTAAATCACACTGTACAATCCCCGGTTCATTCTTAACACCAGGAATTGTTTTAGTGTCACGCACAGCTAAGAGTTCCCTGAATAACTCACAGAGCAGCAAAATGAATTACAGTACTGCACATGCCACTTCATAATTGGGAGCGTCACTCTACTGAGATTAATAAACCAGCCCTCACTAATGAATGGATCTAAGCGTAGGCAGAGTGATGTTGATGGGAAAAACCTCTCTGGTTTGTCTCTGTAATAACGCCTGAGTTTTATAACGCCCTTGCTAGCATTTCCTATCAACTCTTGTTTTATTTTTTCTAAAAGAACTATTTCCTTTGTTTCTTGAAGCTAGGAATAAGCACTGAACCTGAGTGGATGTCTCATAGAAATGGGTCACTGTGCATGTTTAGTGTATTTGGAAAAGCCTTTTTTGATCAGAAATGTGTACTTTTGGGTTTTCTTCAGGAATTCTCTCAGTGCATATCACAGTCATACCTTAAAAAGGCACTACACCACAGAAAATTCTCTTGTAATAAAAATATGTAGATAGGAATATCTACTCTAAAAGGGATGAACTAAAACTGAATGAAGCATATTACTAAGTTCTTGCAGGTATCTCTACGTCTTAAAATACACTCTACTTTTTAAAGCCTGTTCTCCTTTTAAACATTCCAGACGTAAATAGCTGCTCATCCCTGACACAGCACTAATTTTAGCTGTCCTATTCTCTTTTAAATTTGTGTGCCTTGCCACCGAATTGTAATACAGCACATTATAGCATTTTAGATTCATTTGGTTTACATTTCTACTATAGCCAGTTGTAGCTATGCACTACTATATTATTTTAAATAGATACTTATGATTGCATTTCAGTGTAATCTAATGAGCGTAAAATTAGGGAGAAGAATACTTCATTACTAAAAATATCACTTTGGAAAGTCATCTGCAGTGCTAGTGTTTTTTTGAGGCATATTAAAAATCACGTGTGTGCTTTAACGCTGGGAATACCTAATGCAAGTGGTATAATAAGCTTCACAGTAGTATCTAGAGAATCCCAGAATGGTTAAACATTTTTCTCTAGGTCTTCAGCTTTGTTCAGGTCATAGGCTCATGCCTTAATTTAGTAACAGATAGTACTAGAAATAGAAACGCCATTAACTTGTTTCCTAAGGCAAAGGATATATTTCACACAGTGTTACAGCACTCTAGTCTATTTTTAGACCCAGTGTGTAGGAGTTATCACGGCCTGAATGTTAATAGGCACAACACACAAAAGCAAGCTGGCTTAGGTTAGAACAAAACGCTACGAAAGAAAACCCTGTGAGGATAAAGAGGTTCTAATGTCAGTGGCATATCCTGAATAGCAGAGAAAAAAAGCGTGCAAGGCAAAGATAACTATTGTGGCAGCGTGGCCACCTAAAGATGTAGTCTGAGAATAAGGTTATACAGGAAAGAACATAGTTTCCCCGGAGCTGCTGCAATAAGTCTTTTCAGCGTCTACAGCAATGAATGGCTCCAGCAACGTGGAGAATGAAAAATTATTAACTATGGAATATTTTGATTTTCCTTCTAAAGTTTATACAATTGGAGAGTTGGTGTGACTGCTGTTGTTTTATTAAATCTCCTTGGAATTGGAATTTAGAGCACAGGAAAAGCTGACATTGGCACCAGTACGTTGTCCTTACAGAGAGGTAACTATATGTTCTAATAGAGAACCAGAGAGATGTACTGAACTACCAAAACACACAACTAAGAACCAGCTACTAATTTTTCTACGCTCTAATTTTTGTTGCCTGGAACTTTGGAAACTACCGATCCTCCTCATGAGGAAAGTCATCTTTTTTTTTATATTCTCCACAGAACGAAATGATCAAACAGAACAGGAAGAAAGAAGGGAAATCAAACAGAGACTGACAAGAAAGGTAAAATCTTGCAATACCTTCTATTAGTTTTTAGAAATTTAGCAAAGCTAATGTAACATCAACCAGTCATAAAGGCATTATTACACAAAACCTCCCTTAATATACATCCTCCTCAGCACTGTCTAAGATGGTGGTATCTAGTAATACGAATGATAAAAATATCTACCTCATCTCAGTTATATGAGACTTAGTAGAATATTTACATATAAACTTTAAATCAGAAAATGGATATTTGCTTGCACGCTGCATATTTTGCAACTATATTGCTAGAAGAGGACTACTTCATTCTTTGTAGCAATCAGTAGCAGAGAGGACTCCCAGCTGAGCACCAGGTGTGCTCCCACAATAAATTTTCTCTTTGCATTTAAGGTATTCTCAGAATCAGAACTAGATCTTGTCGTTGTTCTGTTCCTAGGAATCCCTACTGGAGTTAAAAGCCAAATATGCCGATAACTTGTTAAAGCCAAATTGAAATCCTTACAATGGGTCCGGTCCTGAAAACCTTGCACAGACAATCCGCCGCTGATTGGAGTAGAAGACCCCTACAGCATACGATATCATACTTAGATCATAATAAATTCATTATGATTCCTTTACATATTGTAAATGCATGTTATCAATATCCAGGTTAAAATATTTTCCTCTTTTGTCCATTATAAAGCTACTGTGCTCTAGCACACAACTCCATTTAAACCATTATTACTCTCCTAACAATCCTCTGAATGATTGAATATTTCCCTGGAATTTCCAAGGGTTCTTTTTTTTTTTCCATATACATAAATGCACACCAAGCTAAGATGGGAAGCAGAAAATGTTGCACATTTTATTGATATGTTTGCTATTAACACTGGTTTTATTTTACAAAACTATTTAATACAGCTTAACCAGAGACCTACGGTTGATGAACTAAGAGACAGAAAAATCCTGATTCGATTCAGTGATTATGTGGAAGTGGCAAAAGCACAGGACTACGACAGGCGAGCAGATAAACCGTGGACAAGACTATCAGCAGCAGATAAGGTACTGACATAATTAAAACGACGTATTACTGCTTTCTACTTGCTTTGTCTATAATGATACGTCACATTCTGCAAAGACGTTTAACCTCTGGGACATTTAATCTCTGTAAATGTTACCATTATTTTTTATGCTGAAACCACACGGACTAATGCATACACTGTAATAAAAAATGCTACTTATAAAAATGCCTATTTAGTACCATAAAGGCTTCTACCCAGCCCATCAACTGATAGGAAAAAACCAAAAAGGTGGATACAATCTTTCTTAATGCTTTAGAGCTGCAACTCAAAAACATTTCCAGCCAATGCAGTACCAACATTTACCCTCAGACTGGAAGTTTTGTCCCAAACATGCAAATATCCTCCACTATGTTTCTAAACATGCAAATATTTCCTTTCCTGTTTCCTACGAATGCTCAAGGAGTCACTTGATTCCACATTTTCACGAGCATAAACAAACACTCGTTTTTGTTCCATCACATACCTGCCACGTAGCTGATTTACATCCTAATTAAGCTTTCACATTTAGGTGCTCGAGTAGTAAGAAAAATAGTTCAGCGTGATTCCAGCTAGAACAGTTGCTGAATAAGTTTTAAAGTTTCAGGGCTGCAGCAAGCAGAACGAGTAGGGATGCGGAGATAATTACTGGGTAAAAGGGCAAATACAGGACCATCGCTTACTGCTTTGTTCTGAGGTGTGGAGATCAAACACTTCATCCTCCATTCCAGTGTCTCCCCAGTAAAAAGTGGAACAAGTGGTTTTAGAGGACTCCTATAGAAAAGCCACAATGTATTTCTACTACAGTAGCTGTTCTCCTGAGCTCACTAAAATGGTGAATAAGCTACTATATATTAATCAATGGAATAATGATTTTGTATTTTCCTTGTATGTACTGGGTATGTATTAAAATCAGGCTTTTCCTAGTTTTACTGTTTTTATATTGTTAACTAGGCAGGTTTATAAGCCAAAAAGAAAGTGACAGAGTTCAATGTCATATACTGGTGGCATACATCAGGACTTCAGGGTCAGGAGTTTGACCATTGCATTTGGGACTGAAAAACTCGGAGTTATTTTTCCTCATTTTTCTTTTAATAAGCCAAATCTCTGATGTAAAACATGAACATGGGTACAAGCCTCATAATTTTAGGTGGTTGAACTACAAAGTGCCAAATATATAAGAATCTGTGAAAGCACCAGCACGTTCCAGTTCACTCGCAGTTGCCGTTTAAACAAAAGAATGCTCTCACTTTTATAGTCTTGAATTTCATTATATTAAGCACCAGAAGAGAACATTTTTCTTCACTTATGACTGCAATCCTATGGATACAGGTGATAACACAGTCTGGACTGGTGTTTGCAAGTTGTGATAAGGCAAACAGTCTGATTTTTATTAAAAAAATGACACGCATTGAAATTCCATAAAAGTCAGTTGACCAGCTGATCAATTTCTCAGCAACTTCTCTTAATCTTTAATAAATTTTAACTGGCATCTTATTAAATGTAAGACAGTAAGCACTGTCGTTTTATTCTCCTGTCAGAATTGCTTCTGGACAGAAGTGACCCTGTCAGCAATCAGTAATGAATGATAAGAAGTATCATATCACCAATCCATATAACCTAAATATTCAGCATCTCTACTGGCACAGTCTGCTTTGCTATGCCCAATACCTATTATTTCTACTTTAGAACTGCAAGTCCAGTATTCTACAATGCTTATAAATACAAAATTTTTTGTTAACCTTCTTCTATTTTCAATTCCTAGGCAGCAATTCGGAAAGAGCTAAATGAATACAAAAGTAATGAAATGGAGGTACATGCATCAAGCAAACATTTGACAAGGTCAGTTTTCCAGCTGTTTATTTCCATTGCCTGCTAAGAACAGTCTGCCTGAGTCCCGAATCTGTAGATTTTGCTCTTAGATGCTGGATGTGGGAGAAGAATACGCGAAGGAAGCTTTATTTTAAAAGAAAATTGAAGTATTTCTCTTCCTGTTCAGAATCTGGCTTTTCTGATTTTTTTTTTTGCTTTGATTAGCACATACTGAGAAGCCCCCAGACCCCCTCCAGAACATCACTCAGCTTGCATTCTTCGCACTGAAGATTCAAAAGCTATGACAAAAAATTAAATGTAGGGTATAACATAGAAAAATGATTTTTTTAAAAGTAGACAAACAACTCAATACACTACATAAAGGTTTTTGAATTAAATGTACTTGAGTGCGCAACCTTATCATCACAAACAGCGCAATTTCCCTGCTAAGAAATATGAATTCTACACACCGTAACAAGACATACATGATGCCCCCAAGTAATGCCTTTGTTCTAATGGATTCAGCCTGTAGATTTCAGTACCACTCGAATGTCGGTCCAGTTGCTGCTGGAAGGAGTGCGACCCTGCAAAGCACTCTTAATGGCAGTCCAGGGGAGAGGTCAGGAGGGAGAACTGGTTTGGACTCTTGTCGCTCTCTGAGTGGTTGGGCCAGCGTGAACCTAGTCAATCTAGCGCTTGCTTCATCTGCCAGCACTGGTGACAGGTCCTATGTTTAAACATGCATGAAAACATTAATTTCCCTTTTCTAAGTGGGAAAAAATGTGAGAGAGGCTGATTCCACAGCCATTGTTACTTGCAAAAAGACCCCGTTAGTTAGAGAAAAATTGAAATAGCAATCAGTTATTTCCTACAATTTCTATTAGGTCTCTTGAGCAAGTCCAATTGCTCTTAAAACACAATTTTAGGAGTTGCTGGGAGCACAGTGTACTCTTGCCATGTCTGTAAGCATTCTCAGGTGTACTTGCTGCTAAAATAAGTCGCTTAACACTGTACTAAGGAACTTGGCGTGCAGTGTCGCATTCTGGAAGGCTCACTTCAGCAGTGCCTGGGCCCACATCTCCGTGCTTATTTCTGAACTCGGAATGAATTCCAGCTTAACTGAGCTTTGGATGTTCAATGAAAAGATGGTCTAGGCAAACACACTTGAGTAGTAAATGCAATGTACATTGATCTAAAGGCTATATTTATATAATTCTAGACTGTTCGTGCAATTGTTAGGGCCCTTTTAACATTACAGGACTCGAACTCAATGTTTATGGCAAGACATCACTGCATTGATAGAATGAAATATAGGAAAAAAAATGAGATGGCTGCAGTTTAAGTCTGAAAGTGAGATATACCTTGTCTAATTGACGCTACCTGGGGAGTTTAAGTACATTGTAATGATATATTTTGAAATTTGTTCAGGATATTAGGAGTAAACAGGCTTACAATTTACAGTTAGTGCTAAGGCATTGCAAATGATTGGGACTTTAATTACATATCTCAGCCAAAAGAACAAGCCTACAGAGCAAGAGTGTATTCATTCCAGACAGACTCTTAAGACTGTACCGTACATTAAACCAACAGTATTTCCTCATATTTCCCAAAGCATCAGCTCAACATTGCTTAACTCTTACAAACTAACGAGAGCACTGCACGATAAAGAAAATTTCTACCAATGACAAGCTGTGGCTTAATTTCTAAAAGAAAAAAACCAAAATCAACCCCACGCCTATATTTGCACTTGCACTCCCAAATACCTGGAAACTGGTTAGACTGGGCATTAACTGCATTACAGTCATGGCATACGTGTAGAAATGTGTTGGTGAAAATTAAGACTTAAAAGTCGCTAATATTCTTCAACACTGTTACCTTTAAACAGAATGAATATTGGGTTTTTTTTTTTAAAACAATTTTGTTAATCTAACACAGAATTTTAACAAATAATATATTTTTTTTAATTTCAAAGTGGTTTGAAAAATATCTCTTATTTCTCCTAGATTTCACAGGCCATAGAAATTTTCTTCTGAGAAGAATCTGTCTTTACTTTTTGATATCGCTGCTGAACACACATCAGGGAATATATAAGTCTTTC